GGCGCTGGGCTGCGCGGCCGCGGCGCTGATCCCCGCGGCTGACGTGAAGGTGGAGGTGCTGCAGAAGCCGTTCATCTGCCACAGGAGGACCAAGTGGGGGGACATGATGCTGGTTCACTACGAAGGCTACTTGGAGAGGGATGGCTCCATGTTTCACTCCACGTAAGTAGCTCGCCCCCGGCGGCTCGCCCCGGGCGGCCCGCCTTGGAGCGGGCTGGTGGGTGAGCTTCAGCCGGGAAGCACCTCTATACCTCTCGATACATACCTTTATTTTCATGTAGGTGATCTATTCTGGCAGCGCTTTCCTGGATCCGCACCCCTCACAGCAGTCCATCTCCTCATAGCTCTGTGCGGAGTGTTGTGTTGAGGACGAGTGGATTTTTATTTACTTACACAGTTACCTCTCCCTCCCAAAATTTACGTTTACCTGTGTGCAGGGAAGCAAAAGCAATGCATGTGTGTTCATGGTATGCCCTAGAATTTACTTGTTATTGAATTAAAATAACTTAAATAACGCTGCACAGACTTGTCAGTGGGGTCCGTGCCACCGCTCCCTCTTCTCAGAAAGTTTGGTTTAGCTTTATGCTTTGGCAAGTTAGGAATTACTAGCTCGCAGTGCTATTTAAGTTGAAAACCAACAATAAAACTTACCTCCTTCCCCTTTGACAGCTCGAGGCTATAAAAGAAACTTTATTTAGTTTTTGTTTTCTAGTTAGTCTGTAGAAAGCAGAGCCATACAGCATTTGTTAAAAGAGGGGAATGTTACGCATCCTCTGCTGGAACTTAGACACAGGATTCGGTATATGATATCGGCAGTTTAGTACGTCTTCTGCTGTGCGCGAATTTCTGTCTAGTTTCTAAACCAGACTTCTACGGGAGAAGTGTGCCTCTAATTTAAAAAAAACTCAAACAAGTATATACATTTTCCGTACTGGCAGCACAATGACAGCTTTTCATCACTGAAACGGCGGATTCTTCACCGGCCCCCGACCAGACAAATCAACATACCAGAGCCACAGTAATGCAAGTAGGAGGAAGAGCCAGAAATTCGAGGGAGTGCTAAGAGCCTGCAACTGCTTGCTAATGGTGCTCTTCCTGTAAAACATCAACGAAGTGTTCATAGCGGGAGACAGCAAAACGCTCAAGTGTCTACAGGCCGTGTCTGAAATTTACTTGTGTGGAACGTATTAAAAAAAAGACAGTGTTTTGCATGTTTAGGCTCTTGCAGACCATTAAACTAACATTTCACTAATTTTCTCTTGTAGTTAACCTGCCTCTCTAAAAGGAGCTCTAGTGGCACTCTTTAAGTTTTTGCTGCTGACTAACTTCTGTAAGTGCTGTTTTCTTGTTAAGTACCTTCCCTGCATAACTAGTAAATCGAGCTTTTAAAACTGTGTCTGTAGGGAGAGTGGAAGTAGTCCTGGTGTACCATCTGGTTAAACTGGGAAAGGGCCTTGTCTGTCTGTTTAAACGTGAATGTTTTGCATGCATTTCTTTCTGTTTTTCTAGACTATCTGTTGTGTAGTTTTTTGTATTTCCTAATGGCTTTTCTGGAAGATATGTGGCCAATTCTTCCAAGCATTTTATAAGGTATATTGTAATCATGACCAAACTGGGTTTTGATTTGCAATTTACCAAAGAATATGCATTGCCTTGAATGTAGATTTTTAAGTAGAAATGCCTTTCTAGTCTGATCAGCTTCAAAGTGGAAATAGGTGATCAGGGAAGTGAAGATGGAGATTCAGGTTGCTTAGTGTTGTCATAAAAATACCATGTAGATGTTTTATTTCTTCCTACTTCTTAAGGAACCTTGTCATGCAAGGTGTACATTCTAAAGACCTTAAAAGTCTGGGTCTTTCATTTAAGAAATGCCAAGGTGCCAAATAGTGGTGTGTTCTTAATTATGTGCATATTCCATATGCTTCACATATGCATATCTTTTATGGAACTTGCTGTCTAAAGACTAAGTGTTGTATTCTGTTCTTTTCCAGTCACAAGCATAACAATGGTCAACCTATGTGGTTTACACTTGGCATAAGGGAAGCTATCAAAGGCTGGGACAAAGGTTTGAAGGACATGTGTGTGGGAGAGAAGAGGAAGCTAACTATTCCACCAGCCCTTGCTTATGGAAAAGAAGGGAAAGGTAAAACACCTGAAGTCCTTCCCTTGTTTTTAGTCTCTGCATTTTACTGTTATTCTTGGCATAAGAGGTTGGCAAGCTTTCCAGGCTGATTCCATTAAATAAGAATTGATGGAGTCAGGTGCTTTTTCTCACTGATTTATTTTCTGTAGAAATAACCCATAAGTGGTTCTGTGATGAATGCAGGAATAAAACCCCAGGAATTGATGGTAGCTGCTGTGCAGTATGTTCTGAGTGCCTTCTGTTAGTGCTGTGCTCAACGGTGCCCTCCTTTTTTTTATTTTCTCTTGCTTTATCTTTTCCTCTTTTTACAGTCAAGCTGGAAGTGGTTGCTTAGGTAACGGTTGGCTTTTTGGCTGTTGCATCTCTGTTTGTGGTAATACCTCATGAATGGGCGTGTACAAGCCTCATTCTTGCTTACAGGTTTCTTTTAGAACCCTAGGAAACTCCCTGTGCTGCTGCTCTTCTTAGCTGATACAGTGAAAAGTCACCACTTACTTCTCCATATAGAGCCACCTAATTCTTCCCCTTTTTCAGCTGTGTTCAGTTTGGCAGATAAGCAGGCACACGGGTGGTCATGTTGGCATCTACTGAAAATGTATTGAATGGTGTACAAACAGATGAAAGCATTCTTTGTAGGGTTTTCTCAACCTGTCTACTACTGATGGTGTTTGGGGTTTTTCCTTTCAAACATTTCCAGATTCCTGTTTCAATGGGAGGGCCAGATCAGGAATTTGCAGTTAAATGAGTGACAGCTTGAATGATGGTTACTTTCTCTGCTTTATGGGGTTTGGTTCAGTTAACTTTTCTTGGAGCAGTTATTAGGAGTATTTTGTCATGACACAGTTATCACAGTGAACTTGGGTAATACCAGGCTTCAGAGCAGAAAAGATAAATGTCTTGGAACATATAATCCTTCCTGCTAATGTCCTCTTCCATTAATCTGAGACTGTTCTTGAAATGAGGAGTGTTCACATGTCTGTATCTTCAGGTAACTAGGCTGAACGTGGGCTAAGTAATAGTCCATATAATTCCATGCTACATAGTACTCCATACATGCAGCATACTCCATACCTTCCTTTCTTAAAAGTATCCTTTTAAAATGTATTTTTTCTAGAAGCCTTGGTTTGGGGGCTGAACCCAGGACAGGGTTCAAGAGATAGTATTGGAAATAATCATATTTCTAGCAGAGAACACAAAACTTGTGGTGGTCAGTTAATTATATGCAGGGCACAACTAACTTTCCACGAAGAGATGCTAAATGCTGCAGTACTCACATAGTCATCACAGGCTACTTGCCTTGATTAATATGTAAAGTACCATGGTTGTTCTTCAGAGGCTTACGAGCCTCACCTCTGTTCAGCACAAGAAGGTTGAACAAGTAAACACTGCTACTGCTGTGAGAAATTACTTGCTTTGGGAACACTTTGAAGTAGTTGAAAATAATTGATGTTGCTGTATTCAAGTCAAGCCCTCGAAGACCGAATTACTCCATTTTCTTCTTGCTTTCCTCTGAATGCACATAATTTCACTAGCCTCCCACCTTGCTTGCAGTCTGACTTGAATGATGAGTCAGATGCCTTTTTTGTAACACTCAAAAATTACCTGTGTTCTGAACTCTAAGCAGGCCACTGTGCCCTGTATTTCCAGAAGTTTCTGCGCATTTATTCATCCCAGAAACCTGCAAGCCTGTTTGTTGCTGCAGCTCAGGGTTTATTTAACGCCATAGCTCCAAGGTAGTAAATGTGGATTAGTTTTTTTTTTTGGTTTTTTTTCCCCTCTGTCTTCTGAAGGCACAGGAATATTTTTTGGGGGATGCTTCTATCCAATACAGAAATATATTTGGTCCTGTTCAACCTTTCTCTGTATAAGGAGTAAAGTGGTGTGCAGAAAGGTCTTTGACTACTGTCAAAACTATTGCTTCAGCCATCGGCATGCAGGCATATCACATCACTGTAAAAGCCAATGCCTGCTAAACTGGAATCCTTGAGGGGTGGTCACATGGGAGGGCTGGTCCTTAGTGCTGTTAGGAAATGACCAGTCTGTTCAGGTGCATCAGATATAGCATGATACCAACACATGTCTTTGGGACAGATTTACATGCTTAGTTTCTGCTGTGTGTTTGGAAATAGCTCTGCCCTGTGCAGCAGTCCAGACACCTATGGAATAGTGATGGTGTTGCTGACCTCCTGGCTTTCTCTGCAAGGAGAGTTTCCAGTGGCAGACTAGCAGGTACAAGGTGTCAGTTGGCAGTAGAGAAGAATTTGGACACTAGTTGTTTATGGTGTGTCAGGAGGACTGAACTCTACCTTCTTCCTACCCCGTCCATCATACTTGGCTCTAAGTTTTAGTTGTGGCCACCTGGCTGGCTGTAGAGTCTCTTTCACTGTTTTCCACTTTATCTGGCTCTGGCCATGAAAAAAGTTTCAAGAACATTGTCTGATAAACCCGTGATGATGATTGATGAATATGAGCTCACATCAACATGTACTAGTCTCCAACAAAACTAGTTGCATCTCAAGTTGCATGTATGCTGGAAGTGCTGCTCTGGGTCCAGGCTACAGTCTGAAATAGTTATCGCTGCTATAGTTACTTATCCTCTTTAGTTCCAACTGAAGGATGCTTTTAAAGTAGGAGGATTACTGGAATATTTCTCTGAGACATATGGCTTTTGTATGGCACTGAATATGTAATTGTGTTCTTAACTTTTCTCCATGTTTACCATTTTGGGCAGGAAAAATTCCACCTGAGAGTACACTGATTTTCAACATTGACCTTCTAGAAATTAGGAATGGACCAAGATCTCATGAGTCATTCCAAGAGATGGATCTTAATGATGACTGGAAACTGTCCAAGCAGGAGGTGAGTGGGTTACCTTTCTCTGAGCAAAGCAAATCCTATTAGGATGGGATAGTGGAAAGGGAAAGCTTAACTTGAGGGAGGCATCTAAACATAAGTTAGGTTTTTAGCTACTACTGTGCACAGAGCAACTCTGCAAGCAGAATACACAATATTTAAGAATGCTTAAGGCATTTATTGAGTGATGCACAGTATGGGTAACTATTTGTTAGCATAACTACTGAACTGATACCACTATGGTAAGACACTGAAAAAGTCATTGCTGGCCAGGTGATCATCAGTCACGTGGGGAAGGGTGAGTCTCTGTTCTTCTCTGGAGATGACTTTTTCTATGTTGCTGCTTTCCAGTTTTCTGCTTTTTTTGACTTTGTTTTTATGCCTTTTCATGTTGGTATCTCT